TTTTCTTACCTCCTTGACAAGTCAAGGGATTCCCAGGCTTAAGCAGATATTCCTTCAGGAAAAAAGCACTGATGTCCACTTGGATTTGGAAGACAAAGATGACTGCAGCCCCCATTTAAATGAGAACAGCCGGTAGATCCTACACGTTAAGGGAAGGGGAGTTAACTAATTAAGTGATGTCTGATATCTGAATACACAGTGGATTTGATTACCAAAACGTGAGCGCCACTGGCAATTATGGAAAAGTTTATGGCACTTTTCGACTAATTGCCCAAAAAACAAACCAAAATCAATAATCAATGGCCAATCAGAAGAAAAGTTATGATCATAATTAGCCAGTGAGGGTAGACTGTTTGAAGCGCGAGAAAACATGATTGACGAGGTCACGACTGTATTCTTGCTTCCGATTGGCTTACAGCGTGGTGCGAGTGTTGTTCACCAATCACAAGGCGAAGTAAAGGAAAGCCAAAGTAATTAGGGATAACTTTGGACACAACTGAAAATTACAATTGCATTTGATCGTGAACGACAAGATGCATATTGTGTTATGCACGTGAGCAGATCACATGACCGACTATTTCTTCAATACTGGTCCCTTTCTCTCGAAATGAGAATTTTGAGAAAAGAATCCGATCGAATAGTATAGGAGCATCTAAATGGGATCAGGCCTGTTTGTTTGAACCTTTCTTTCTTTCCTACATACCAGAAAATATTTTTCCGTCATCATGAACATGTAGACCCTTTGGTGACCCCATTCCATGGACCAGAACCTCACTGAGAGAGAGGAAGTCATGTTGTATTTGCCCTACAACAGCTCAAGCAAACGATGCCACCTATGCCTTAAAGAGAAATTCCTGATCATCTGCCACCCAGACCTATTAACACTCAACAAGCGTAACGAGAAAGAAAAACATTAATCAAATTTTTGTTACCTCCTTGACAAGTCAAGGGATCCCCAGGCTTAAGCAGTATTCCTTCAGGACAAAAGCACTGATGTCCACTTGGATTTGGAAGACAAAGATGACTGCAGCCCCCATTTAAATGAGAACAGCCGGTAGATCCTACACGTTAAGGGAAGGGGAGTTAACTAATTAAGTGATGTCTGATATCTGAATACACAGTGGATTTGATTACCAAAACGTGAGCGCCACTGGCAATTATGGAAAAAATTATAGCACTTTTCGACTAATTGCCCAAAAAACAAACCAAAATCAATAATCAATGGCCAATCAGAAGAAAAGTTATGATCATAATTAGC